TTCTCTCTCTCTCTCTCTCTCCCCCCCCTCTCTCCTCTCCTCTCTCACTCTCTCTAAAAAAAAAAAAAAAAAGAAAATACAAAACTAATTTTAAGTACTTTTCTAAAGGTCTTCAATCAAATGTGTTTTTTTCTTTGAATTAAGAAAAAGGCTGAAAGTAGACAAATTATCTGGTAATTACCCCTCTTTCCCATATACCCCTCCCATTATTATTTTTAAATGCTACTCTTTCTTTGTAAACTACCTTATTAGCAATGAACTAAAGGAATAAAATGGAATTTTAATGTAAGTAATGAATACCCTCAGATTAATTCTTCATATCTTGCTTAGCTATTTGCATTTGGAGTTTTACATGGCAGATACCCTAATACGGGTCATAGAATTCTAGAACAAAGAATCTTAGGTTAACTTTCCCGTGCCATTGCCCAGACACAAAGCTATAAAATACATATATATCTCATATAAATGAGTATAATCTTTTCTAACATTTTCATGTTTTCTTTTGCATACACTGTCTGTTGTGCCTGGTGTTCTTTTCCTCCCTTATCCATCCTAAAAAAACCAGTTCAGTGGCTGTTCCTCTAAGAAGCTTTTCCAGACTCCCTCAGACAGAATTAGCTATCCTTTATATATATCCTACACTTTAACTATAGCAGTTATCACACAGTGAGCATTTGTTAAACAAATACCTTCAGTGTACTGATATTTAACCTATTTCTTTAAACTACCAACATCCCTATTGTAGATAGTAGCCAGTGTAGAAAGGGTTCAAAACTTTCTTCAGAACTAAATRTAGTTTATATATTATGGGGCTAGAATAATAATAGCAATTGTATTATATCCTCTCAATCTCATCTAGCTAGGGTTTAAAAACGTTGATACCATCTAAGAGTATCAGAAAATAAACTTATTAGAAATGTGCATTTTCAGGGGCTGGGGTTATGGCTCAGTGGTAAGTTCTCACCTAGCATATGTGAGTCCCTGAGTTCAATCCTCAGCACCACATAAAAATAAATAAATATATATATAAATAAAGGTATTGTGTCCATCTACAACCAAAAAAATATTTTTTTAAATGTGCATTTTCAGTACAGATTTTCACATATCTATTGTGCTCATATAGAGTATTATTTATAGTAACTCAATTTATAGTTCTAATAAAATTCTAAAGTTGTCTTTATATTATAAGATATTATTGAACAAAATTAATTTTTATGCTTGAGGCTCCAGGTTCAATCCCCAGAGCAGAGGAAAATTTATCAATTTTTTTCTTTAAAAGTGCTACAGTACAGGGCTGGGATTGTGGCTCAGTGGTAGAGCACTCCCCTAGCTAGTGTGAGGCCCTGGGTTCGATTCTCAGCACCACATATAAATAAATAAAATAAACATATTGTATCCACTTACAACTAAAAAAAWTTTTTTTTTAAAGTGCTATGGTACATTGTGTCCAAATATGGACCTCACAAGTATGTTTGCTCAACTATTGGCAAACAATTTCTATTTCAGTTACATACTCTGTGCCCTGTTATATATAAAAATATGTTTTGAAATATTTTTTGTATTTTAAATACTATTTTGATCAGAGAGGTCCACTGAGCCATAATGGCTCTTTTGGTCCATCCCCTGTGAGTGGTGGAGAATGTTCCCCTTCACTGAAAGCAGAGCCAGCTGGGAGACCTCCTTTGGCTACTCTTAATTGAAAAGATATGCCTAGAAACGGATTTGGTCCTGGTATGCGTCCACCAATAGGCTTCAGAGAATATGCACCAGGTGTTCCACCTGGAAAACGGGATTTGCCTTTTGACCCTCGTGATTTTTTTCCAGGACCCGCACCAGCACCATTTAGACCTTTAGGCTCATTTGGCCCAAGAGAGTACTTCATTCCTGGTGCC